TAGTAGCTTAGGTCTTTTCATCGACCTCCAACATAAATAGACTGCACCTTACGCAAATTAAGTTTTCAAGAATGTTTACAGGTGCTCCTTGAGCTTTAAGGCTCTCCTAATACAACGTGAATGCGAATTGAGACCATTTTTGAAGTTTACTAAGCGCTTAGCTGAGGGGTTCATGTAAACTTCTAAAGATCATAACAGATTACTAGCGAACCCCTTAAATTATAGACCCTCTCACTTTCCCAAATAGAGAACGACCGAAATATCTCCTTACTATGTTCGATAATAACTTTAAATGCAAAATTTTTACTGAAAAAAAATACAATAATTCTGATAATAGTTGTGAACAAATAGTAATAATATTAGTAATAGTATCAATTAGGAATAATATTGTAATAGTTATATATTTATAATAATATAATATTCGTAAAGTCAGTGAAGGCTTACTCACATGACCTAAAATTTAAAAAATTGTCCTTATAAAGTAATTATTTATTTTGGCAGCATCTTTGCAGGGAGAGAAACTTTCCGAACCTTCTCGCTTGGGGGAATGTAGATTAAACAGTTAGAGTTATTTACTTATAACGACTTAGAGTGTCAGGGCAATAAATAAATAAATAAATAAATAAATAAATAACCCAAAAACATTTTATATTGATAAACAAGGACTTATAAGATGGCTCGTGCTCACACGTGCTTAAAAAAAAATAGTGTTCAACTATTAAAGTTAGTAGGATGTATCTATATTGATTTTACTGGACGTCTTTGAGTAGTATAAATATAATATTGGCCATTATAATTTTGACGTATCACATTTCTTTATGTCAACGGTGACTAAGTTTAAGTATGTAGCTCGGGAAGTTCTTGATGGATTTCCTGAACCTGGTGCGAACCAAGATATAGCAAAGGTACCCAGTTATATTGATTCGTAGGGGTGACGGGAGTGTAACTATATTTAAACGTCTTTTATTAACGTTATAAGATAATTTGTGGACTTGGAAATTATCTTTTTCGGGTGGAAATTAAAGATGGACGTAAAGTTATCGTACAATTACCTGCTAAATTTCAAAATCGTATCTGGATGAAAAGAGGCAAAGTTTGATTATGAATATAATTTGGTCCTCTAGCTTTTACTTTTCTCTTAAGCAGGAGATTATGTTATTATTGAATGGGTATCCCATAAAATAAATAAAATTGAGGCAGACGTGATTAGTATCCTTCTTCCTAAACAAATTAAGCACTTGAAAGAATTAAAATTTTGGAAAGTCCTTTAATTGATTTTAAGTTTTCTGGGGAGAAAGTATTTATTATAATAATAGGCCTGAAGAATTTTGTGGGGCTACCACTTTGAATACATGCTCTGATAAACTATATTATCCTGATAAAAATATAAATGAGGAAGATTCTGAAGGAAAGGACTGTTTTTCGCCCGACGATAGCTACTTTGTAAATCCTAATCAGAAATACAAAATTCATTTTGACAGTGAAAGTGATGATGACGTTTGAATTACTTTATAGCAAGTTAATAATATTTTAAGTTTTTAATTTTTTTTAATTTTTTTTTTTTGGCTGAGAACTATAGGCTTTGCTTTAGGCTGGGCTGAGAGTCAAGTCTAACTTTGTTATTGGAATTTTGTGAAAAATATTTGACGCGGTTAATTTTTACAAGGTGCTTAACGAGTCGATCGGTTATATCAAAATTTTAGCTGTACGCAAAGCTGCCAATTGGTTAGTTTAAATTTAAATATAGCGTTTACTTTGTGGAATAAAAATTCAATCTTTTTTATTAAATCTTCTCCTTTTTATTACTGAACAATATGAGCTGTTTGGTTTCTTTGTCGGCTTACTCGTAGCAAACGCTCTTCTTCCTCCATTCTCTTTTCATTCTCTCTTTCTTTGAAAAATTTAAAAACCTACCATATAAAAATAATCTTGCGATGTGCACGTGACAGTGAGGGATCTCCTACCTCTAAGCATATGGGATCTTTTTTAGCACACAATCCTCGCCATTTGTCTTTAATGTTAGTTTGAGATCGAGTAAATCCTTCTCGACGAGGCCGTCAAAGAGCGTGTTATAATAAAATTATAAATCAAATTCCAACCTTTAATTATGCCCTTAATGTAATTTTCGATGGCTGCCCATCGGCCAATTCCGTAGATTTTAATGCCACTTATAAGCCCTTGCTAGAAGGAAAATAGGAGAACATCAACCTTGTGAGGCTAAATAGTACAGCAGGGTAACCACTTCCTCTCTGCTCCACTTAATTCGTTTGGACTTCGACGGTGTTAGTGGAAGCCTGGAAAGCGACGCGGATGCAGGATTAACAACGGGGTTGCTTTTTTTTATAAAAAGCGCTTAATTTTATAATAGTGAAAAATTAACAAGATAGTGGAAGTAAATAACTCGAGAAATGATTCTAAAAAGGAGTCTTCAGCGTGAGTGGCGCTCATCCTTTTTATTACTTCTTCTCTATTAAAAAACAGTTAGAACTTTTATTAGGTAGCAAACGATAAAATGTTAAAAAAAAAGGAACTTTTCGGGGCTCGACAAGCTACTTTCGCTACTAAGCTCTGCGGAGGAAAATTTCTTTATAACATAAGAAGGCCCAGTAAAAAAAGACTGATGACTAGAAAGTTCTACTTTTTTTTTTGGGAGAGTAAGGGTCACTTCTCTTCTTTGAGCTCGAGTTTCTACAATGCGTCCTATAAAAAAAAATTAAATTGAACGAAATTCTAAGAGGTTGTTCCTATTTTATCAATAAGTTAAAACCTGCTGTGTCTACAGAAAATAAAGGTCTCTGCCAGCGTTGACTCCATTCATTTACTTGTTTATAGTGCTCACCTTCTCCAAATTTATCATCGGGACATAATTTCTTAAACAACTTACAACAAAGAGATTTTCCAGCATAACTTCGAGTATTCCTATAGCTTGTAAAGTAATTTTTTTTTAAGATTTTTTAATATTTAGCAGACAACCTCTTCAAAGTAGAAGAGTCTTTAATGGTTGCGCTGTCCATGTTAGAGCAAGTTTAAAAAGAAAAAGTGATAGAAACCTAAGCAAAAAGTCAAGACATTGTTAATCGTACTAAATTATCAGTTGAAGGTTATCTAGACTTAATTATCCGTATCGCACACGTACCATCAACATTATCAGGTAGGCCTCTACTTTTACTATCAACCTCTGCTGTTATCCATCTTAGTTTCCCCCCCCCCTCCTCGCCAGTTCAGGGAAATGAAGAATTCGGTGAGGTTTCTGTTAACTTTCCTTCACTTCTACCGCCGTGGAAAAGTCAGTCTTAATTTTGTGGTATCGCTACGTCTAAAATACTTTGAATTTTTTTTTTAAGTTTTATATATACTATTTATATGTTAAAAAATAAGCTAGTGATCCTGAATAAAATGTTGTACATTTCACCTTGTTGGAAGCCAAACAAAATTAAAAATAATTTTTTTACTCTTCATATACTTCATCAAAACTGTTCCTAGTGCTTGATCGAGTTAAAACCTTCCATTACTCGAACTCTCAATCAGGAGTGATCGCAGATAATACAATGAGCATTAAGAGTGTCACTATTTTTTTTTAAATTAACAAAACTAGGCTTAAGCGCGTCAAGTGGGCGGCGATGAGGTGCCCCGTCCCACGGCTCGTAATTAAGTTCGCTCACCAGCAGGCGATTAGTGTGCCTGGTGAACCTGTCTTAAAGGACCCACGGCACGGCGTTGGAAGACAATGTCTATAGGATCCAGCTGAAAGCCCCGGTGAAGGGCATCATTCCGCACAAAACACGGCGCCCCCTTTGTCAGAATACACAGCAATTGGTTCTGTCGCACTTGAAGTGCCGACGCTCTCGCAGTGGAGTTGCAGGCCCAGGCAGCAGATACGTATGTTATTATGGACTGGATGTAAGACAAATACAATTGCCGTTTGTTTCGCAGAGAAAGCTTACTCTTGTCGCAAAGTAATGATAAAGTGTCTTGGTTGCTACCTTGACCTTCGCCACTACATAATATACGAGAGGCCGATGATGATCCCCAAGTATTTCGCTGGAGGACATCATCAAATCTTCACGTCATCAGAGGTTAGGGGCACCAACAAAGGGACGCGTTTCTTGGAGAGCGATATAAAGCTTTGCTCTTCATCGCATTTATAGTAACCTTCCAATCATGGCACCCGACAGCAAGGCCGTCAAGATAACGCTGTAGACGCATACCAAGGCGGGAGGCTTCGAAGAGGAATATACGGTCGTAGCATCACCGTAGAAGGAGATTCGTGTGTGTGGGTCGGACGGCAAGGGTATGTCGCTCATGTATATTGCCAAAAAAGGGGGGAGAGAAGTGATCCCTAAGGGCCCCCTACTATCAGAGATCGAAGCGGTGACCGGATATCTCCCACGCGCACGCTGAAGAAGCAACCATTCAGATATGATTCCAGCACCTTAAAGCCCATGAAGGATGGATAACGAGCGCAGTTTGTACAGCAGACCTCATGCCAAACTTAATCAAATGCCTTTTAAACGTCAAGGAAGACAGCGCCTGATACCTTCTTAGGGCTAAAAGCGCGAGTCGCCATTCAGTTAAGCGGAGGTGCTACTGGGGCGTTGAGTGCCCTTGCCGAGATAAAACTGAAACACCGGTAAAGCTATCCGAGCGTCAACGACCTCTTTAAGACAGCGCAGTAAAACGGCCTCACCCTCTTTGCCGGCCGATGACAATAGGCTAATGGATCGCTACTTGCTAGATGCTGATTCCGGTTTAGGTGTTTTTGATAGCATACGATCGAGAATCGGAAAGGATTAAGGAGCATCACAGATTTTATAAATAGGTAAAGATAATGCATCCCTATTGATGGCATTTTCTTCTTCGTAACATTAATGACGCCATCGGGGTCAGGCGCTTTTCGTTTAGGTAGCGCTTCGACAATTGTTTGCACCTCGTCAACATTAACCAGATTAAGTGTTTCGTTGTTAAGGTTGGGTTGTAAGCTCAAGTAAGGGAACGCATCACCATTAGCAGTATAGTAAGCAGCTGGCACGTTTTGAATAGCAAGAACATTGGTGAAAAGCTTAGCTTTATCTCCATAACTCTCGGCCACTACATTTCCTTCACGAAGGGGCAGTAGTGGTCCAAGCCCCAATTTTTGATCCTTTCAACAAATTTCCAAAAGGAGGAGCGAGGCTACTCTTGCCCGATTCTAATATACGATGCCTTTTGCTCTCCCATTTATTGTTGAAATGGGCCATTAGCTTTTTTCTAATGCCCATGTGAAGACGATCAAGCGCAAGTTTGTATTCGGCGCTCTGCGACCACATGGTTACTCGAATAAGAGGCCGACGTTGGCAGATAAGAACCTATAGTACGTCAGGCAGGCGAGTGGGGCTTACTTTGCTTCAAGAGTTGTCGTGGCAGTAATGTAAGCCTTGTTCAGTGCGGTTTCAAAAAGGACAACAGCATCATCCAGCAGGGCGGGCGCGGACGGTAATGACGGAGACGGCGGCAGCGTGGTTTCTAATACATCAGTATATTTGTCCCAGTCGGTAAAAATACGGGTAATGACCTTTGGTGTGTCCTTCTCACCCCCTAATCGAGAATAACTGGATGGTGATCAAAGGACAGCTCGTGGAGCACTTCAATAGCCGTAGAGAGAGGTATATCTTTAAGTATGGCAATATCCAGTACCTCCATTGTGCCTGTAGTCCGAGTGTGTTGATTGCTGGGGACCTAGCACGCACACACCGTGCTCATCAGCATAGGCCATAAGGGTCGACTGCTCTATGTGGGGCGCTTGCAATTAAAATCTCCTCACACAACAGCAGAAGGGCACCCCAAAGATAGCGTCCAAAATGGGGGGCGAAACTAGCTTCCAAGAGGATTTGTACTCTTCCTACGTCAACTTTACGCAATATATATACTCGTGTAATATAGCATATTCTGTCACCTTTTCTGATGGCCAAAATATCATACTCTACTAGCATTCTACTAAAAGACTAAACTATTTCCAATATTCGGTGTATTTTACCATTTATAAAATGTGATACACTAGGAAAGATGACTATAAATCTGCGTGCTCTATTTTTTAAACTGACGGTTGTCCTTAACCGTCAAGTAGGGAAAGGTCTGTTGCTGTTAATTCCGTTCGTCATCGAATAATTTATGCTTTTCTTTTTCTTAATTTTTTTTAAAATATACTTGGTTACATCTAAATGTTTATAACTTGTGCCCTTTCATTATCAAATATTCCCTCTCCTGTCGATTTTACTGTTACTATCGAGTACTGTTAAACTTTCCTCACAAGCTCCGTATAGCTTTGTAAAGACCAACTTGGTCTAGAATTTAAATAAGACGGCCGCGAGACTTGGACTATGGTGTGTCACTCTGCTTGTTTCCATCGTTTTCCCGAACTACCGTTTCTTTTAAGGTCACCAATTGTTCTGCAGTTGTAACTCTATTTGTCCTTATATATACAAAATTTTTGTTTATGGTTAAAATAGCGTGGTTTTAGGAAAAGAAGCGGATGTTACCATGTATTAAATTATTGTAGGTAATTTTTACTCTATATTTTAAACAAAAAATATAATATATTTTCATTAATATTGGCTTTGTCCTTCATTAATGTGATACTTTATTTTACTGTGAAATTACAAGATTGTTTAAGAATATAACGGTTAGTGAATAATAGTTGACTGGCTAACATTACATTTTAAAGTTTATACTCATAATGGTCTTCCTTTAAAAGATGTAAGGGTACTCATACATGCCCAAAGCTAGGCTAAGCAGTCTGCGCTCGACTTAACAAGCATCTGTAAAAGTCATTAAATAAAAAAATGCAGTAGCATTCATAGTTGTGTCTGTATTTTTTGCTTAGTCTCTTACTTTATATCCGTGCTATACATGTATACATCTATATAAAATTAAAAGGTAAATTATCGTGAAAGTAAACAACTTTTAGAGAACTTTAATCGAGAGAAGTCTCTGTTAAAAGTTAGTATAAAGGTTTTAAACCATTTACAAGACTTAAAATTGGGTTGTCTTTTTCAAAACGTTTATAAACAATGATAACTCGAAATTTCTAGAGTTACTACTTTAAATTTGATCTAGTATAGAACTAGAACCTCTTCGTCTCTGTTAATACTAAATGACCCGCGGCTTTTTATAAAAGGTAGTATCTTTTAAGTTTTAGGTATAATAGAGATAAGTGGAAAACTTTTGTTTTGTTGCCAAATGTTAGTTACAGAAGATTTTTTTTTTTTTGGTGTAAAGCTTTATGGCTTTTAAGGGGTTTAAAAGGTAAATGTTATTTGGGGCTTTTGATTAAAAGTCAAGAAATAACAATCACGTATACCCTAAAAACGATGGATATCTCGGGGATAGAAGTTAATAATATTAAAGCTAAGAAATCTGTTTTGCTGCTATTTACGGTATGGATTGTGGAAAGGATAAAAATGGGTTGTCTACACGGTTAATATGAAAGGCTTAATTCAAATACCCTATTGTAAAGATTTATATACAAGCGTTTTAAGGTTTTAAATATTCTTAAACAAAAGATATGTATTTGCAATAGAAATACAGAGACTTATGTTTACCTCTTTGGTATTGTTTGCATAAAGGCGTTTTTTTTTAAAAGACTACCACTAATGGGCCCTAGATTTATAAAGTTTAAGATGTATATAGGATATATTTAATTCTGTTTTGAGATCTGTTACATATAATCTTTTTTTACATAACTTTAAATGCATTAAGTTTTTTATTTTGTATAAGCTCCTTATATAAATGATTAAAATTACTCATATACTTTTTAGGGTGAACAATAAAAGTTTTTTAAAAGGGACCGCATATTGGAAAATGACTATATATTTTAACAAAAGCTACAATATTTTTTGTTTAGCATAACACTGCTGAGAAAACAAGACACAGATACTTTCGTTAATTTGGAAAAACTAAATGAAGGGGATTGACTAATAAATAGTATGCAATTATTAATATAAATAACCTGAAGTAGTATATATATAAACTATCCTATACTCAGTACCAAACAGCAGGTCACCTAACAGTGACTTTATAGAAAAAGGTGGGACGCCCTCTAAAATTTTTATAAGATATACTTTAATTATCCACATTAACTTTGTCGCTTACCGAGACTTACAAAACGAGCAAAATATAAGGATATCAATATCAAAACAATGAATTATAAATTAAGAATTATTTAAAAGGTTAGACCCGTGCCAAAGTTTAGAGGTGTAATTGAGGCCAATCAGGACACGCACCTCCGAGGTTCGAAAGCTAGGGTCCTACTGTGTTAAGTGCAAGGCTAGTTATTGTGCACCTAAAACGAAGCTTTTTACTTGGTATTACAAAAAAACGTCATTTATTTTAATACGTAATTAGGTAGAGACTAGATAAGTAATTCATTTTTCGAACCCCTACTGCCAACAAGGCCGAAAGCTTTTCGTGGTTCAGCTTTGCAGCGAACTTAGTATCTTCCGAATACTAACAGTAATGTAAGCTTAGCAGTCATTATTGGGAGTCATACTTTATTTTTTCTAGGATTATGTCACTCTATAATATCGAGTCTTGCTTAAATCTTAAACTATCTATAAATAAACGTCACTAGTCGGGTCTAGCATTTGACTTTATCTTTAGCCAGCTTAGGAGCCTTTCGTATTTCTCGGTTAGAGCTTCCTTGGCTGGTGCCGGTAAGTCCCTACTTTCGATACATGGCGAACCAAAGCATACCTTTAACATGCAATTCCCAGAATGATAAAGTAATTTAACTTAAAGCTTTTTTAAAAGGTACTAGCAACTTTTAAGGTACACCGTTGAAGTTGCATCGTTACGTGGAAGCTATCATGCAATATTACAAATAAAATCTCTAATTTATAACGTAAATATAGTAAAAACCTAATTTTCATATGTGTATAACATCGTCTCTTAACTCCTAAATACTTCCTCCCCTTAATAGTTCCCACTAAAGCAACTCTTTTGACTTTTTTTTGAATCTTTGTTAGCTGCTACGTGAGTAGGCCATCAAGCGTATATTTAACATTGTGCAAATTGAGTGTTTTTAAACATGTTACTATATTCGTTTCTTTAAAGACCCTTTGCGCATTATTAACCTTCCAGTGCGTACACTCGCTTACATTTTTCTTAGACCTTTTAAACAAACTTTTTGACCAAAATGTAACTGTTTATTTTTCGACGTTTTGAAGGTTTCATATAATTAATACTCTTTAAGCCCACTTGGAGAATTTCTTTTCTTTTTACATAGCGTTGTTAAGCTTGAGAAGCTAACTATTTTTGCAAACTTTAAGGGACTATGAGTAGTCTACCAAGTTTTTTACCTTTTACAAAAAGAAAAAAATTAAAAAAAAACTTTACTTTAGAGCTTATTTTTAATCACACCCTACTAAAAAGACGTTTATACTGATTAAAGAGTAATTTGTTTTTAAAGTTATATTAGTCGTTAACAGTAGAATCACCTTTTTTAAAACTTTATTCGTGATTATTAATTTACTTAGTACTTGTCGCCTGCTTTTCTAGATATCATAACATGTTTTACCACTATTTATTACTTGCTTATGATATATGTATTGGAACTGGATTAACTTTATAAAAAATAACAAAGTTTTCGGGCCTAGTACACCTCTTCTGTAATTAATACTACTGGGAATTTTATAGCTATTTCATAAAATTATTTAAATAGTGTCGTTCTTATAAATATTAAGAGAGTTTATGATGTAGTCTTTTAATAATTACATATAATTTTTATCGAGGGCTTTGTAACTTTAATTTCTAAGGCCTGTTTACGTTGGCCTTAAAAAGATCTACTTATTAGCTATTTATTAGTTTAAAAAACTTTTTGGTTACCGAGAATTTAAAGAAATACTTTAAGCTTAAAATATTATAAAATTTGTCGAACAGTCATCTTTAAAGCATCTTTGTAGCGTTCCCGAAAACCTTCTACGCTAGCAACTATACACAAAATTTACGAGATCACATATAATAGACCTAGCTTTAACGTTAAACCTTTTGTGACCAATACTAAAATACTTGAAGCGGTTACTTAATTAAAAATATAAATAATTTATAGTCGGGCTTTGCCAAGCATAACTTTGTTAATAAAAACACCTTAGCACTACTGTAAATAAGTATAAATTTGCTACTTACAATTTGTTTGTAAAGTAAATAATTTGTTTTAAGATACGTATATTTTTATAACATAAACTTTTGTTCTAATTGTTATCCTTCTTATAAGCTTGACCACACTTGACTTGGGGGCCCCTCGAGCATTCAGCAATTCTAGTAGCTCCTTATACGTTCACTTATTAAACCTTCAATGCTTCTTAGGACGTAAGCAAAATATACGCTTAGAAAATCTTAACTTCCTTTCTATTACAGCTTTAAATTCTGTAAATGTCGAGATATACCATAAATTTAATACATAACGCCCCACAATGAGGCGGGTTTATCCGGTAAATAAGAAAAATACACTCGAAATGCTAATTTTTCTTTAACAGATACGACTTTTCCTGGCAATTTTTCGGTCTTTATAATAAAACTATAACTAGTCTTTCTTCTTGGGTAGAATAAACTTATGCATAAGTATTTTACTGGAATCAGAATTCTCACACTATATTATAATGACCTTGTCTTTTACTTTGCGTAAGTGGGTACCAACAAACATAAAGGAGGAATAAGTTTTACTCGGTGACTGCGAGACAAATAAGTAAGTCAAATGTACTTATTTGCGAGCGAATAAATAATTAGAGTTAATAATTTAAGGGCTTTATTTGTTAAATCTATAAAAGGAAAAAGACAAAAGTATAAATTTTAACTTTCCGAAAAATCAAGTATATCCTAAAGGTCTCCCTGGTTCTTAGAAATTTAGAAGTTTGAGTACACTAATACATATGAGGGACTTATGTATTTAATAAAATGTTTCCTATACTGAGAAGCAAGTTCAAAAAAGAAAAAAAGGTTTGCGTACTTAAAAAGTAGAAAGAAAGGTTTAGAAAATTATTTTAAAAAAAATCACAACATAATAACTAAAAAAGGAGGCTGATAAAGCAGAAGTCATATAACTATTATTAGGTTGAAAAAGTAGTAAACATTAAGCCGCAGTGAAGTGTAAAAACGCGGACTAGAAAAAATTAATAACAGCATAATAAAGTCGTATGTGTTTATTGTAGATAAATTTGTTAATGAATACTTAAAAAGTAGTTTTTCGTAAAAAAGATGTAAAACGGTATAAAACCAAATACAGGAAAAGCCAAGAAATATATAGCTGGCAAGCTACAGGCTGGGAAAAAATTTAATAAAGTGGTAGTTTAAGTTCACTGAAAACATAAACAGCAAAATTAATATTGAAGAACATTTATGGAGTACTTTCATTAACTAAAACCTATATAGTATTAGTTATTTTTGTCCTGATTTTAGTATCTGACGAAATAGTAGAATGGCCTTATATAATGTCAACGAAATTGTGTCAGTGGTACCGCAAATGCAAGTCCACCAGTTCCCCAAAAATTAGCTGCTTGAGTTTTATAAATCCCAGTATACAAAAAACAAAACCTTCTGCTGGTTAGAAGATTTTTATAAATCACAATATAAAACAGTAACAAATTATATGGAATGAAATAGTATAACAAAAGTTCGAAGGAATAATTGTTATAGCCCGGTCAAAAATAGACATGAAGAGCTGTAAAGGATTAAGTAAGCTTTTTAAACATAATTTTCCTTAGTTTGAAAGAAGCATAAAATAATAAAAATAGAAATACTAACCTTCTTTCCTATATTTCTTATTAAAAAAACGATAATAACTGTAACAACCTCTTCGAAAAAAATTTAACCTGAAGGATTTCTTTGGTGGCCGTTTCTATCGTTAACTTAGTCGCGTCTACGGTTGCCACCCCGAGATATGTAGTAAACTTTTTTTTTCACTTTTAAAAAACTAAGATGTGACTTTTAACAGTATTGCAAAGTAACATTACTCTTTGACACTTGGCCATCTTTTACGTAAACTAAAGGAGACATTAATCCTCCCGAAATAAAGCTGGTTTTAAAAATATATAAATGCTGCTAATAAACTGTAAAGTGTTAAAATTTATAAATTTAAAGAAGGGCCCGTAAACTTTTTAGTCTATCGCGCTGGAAAATATCTGATAATTTATACTATTTAATTTATAATATAGTTAAAATAAATTCTTCTTAGACATTGCCTAAAAATTCTTAATATTATGTAGTGATAACAAGACTAGTTATAGTTATCACTAAATAAATAAATTATATTTATTAAAAGTTTCGAACGGCAACCATTGTAATATGGTAGCTACGAGGCCAAGTATAAATTATAATAGTACTTTTCTCTTTAATAGCTACTAACAAGGATTAAATATAAACCAAGTTTTGCCACTCACTAAAGTAAATTTATTTTCAAGACATAACGGAGTTACAAAAAAAAAAGTCTGTTAGTTTTGAAAATGTTTGTTGACCGCTAAAGCATGTGAGAGATGTTACGAAGGAGTGACGGCTGAGGAATAATTGAGAGGTAAAGCCCGTCAAGCTTTGCGTTGGCCTTGAGACCTTTCTCATACCGTAGAAACTTTAGTTCTACCTAAAAGCACTTAGTCGACTGCTAAATAAACATTTATCTGGAAGGAGATAAAATTTATATCTTAATGGATCTTGTTACATATACAGCTTTCACTATTAAATTTTGATCTATATTGTTAACTTTTATATTTTATGTTTAAAGGAACTGAAATTTAGTTTAGTTATGGCATATTCTTTTAATTTTATTAAAATTTTACATTTGTAAAACTAAAAAAACAATAATGAGCGTTTACCCAAAGAAATCTGTTGTATGTGTCGCAGAAAGTATTGGAATTAGTAATATATCCGATGAGGTTTCGTCGGCACTAGCCCCAGACGTAGAGTACCGATTGAGAGAAATTATACAGGTTTAACTTATATTTCCTTTAAATTTTAAAGTTTGTAAAGATACAAGTTACTTCTATATTTAGGAATCCCTTAAGTTTATGCGTCACGGAAAACGAAATAAACTTACAACTGAAGACATAAATAACGCCCTTCGCTCGCGCAATGTGGAGGTGTTACTTTTATTATCTTTTTAAGCCTGATATTGAAGAATGAATCACAAAATTTTTTAAGCCTTTATATGGGTATAAGGAAAGCAGTTCTTTGCGTTTTAAAAAAGTGGAAATTACTAAAGAGGAATTGTTCTATTTGGTATGTGCTACTATATATAATTTAAATGCATGGAATGTCTCGTGGTTAAAAATTTGTTAAATTTCATTTACCAACTTTACATTTTTTAACAAATTTTAATATTATAAATACTTTTTAAAACTATTATTCTTCTATCTAAAATAATTTTAAATTTTTTTTTTTGGCCTTAGGATGAACCTGAAATAGAATTAACGGAAATAATAAACGCACCTTTGCCCAGATGCCCTGCAGAAATTAGTTATACGTCGCACTGGCTGGCTATTGAGGGCGTTCAACCTGCGATTCCGGAGAATCCATCAGGTGTAAATGCACATCTTTTTTTTAACCAACTGTGAAGTGATGTAGATGCTTTACTAAATTATATGTAGCTTGGCAATGAATTTAGTTATTACTGTTTTTTTTTGAAGAAGTGCTGCTTTTGTGGCGACTTTTTGGTGTTTTACTAATGCCTAAGCGATGCACACTTTTGACTTTGTACTTATTACCTTCATTCAAGTTGTGATACTTGCCGACAGTTCTTCTAATAAAACTATTACGCAACCGCCGCAGCTGAGCAGCACTGCCAGTCAAACTACACGCGTAGCTTCTACCTTTGCAGTCGTGAGTTTTTTTTAGATTTATATATTTTTTTAATTAATACCGCTTTATTTTTGGTGCTTAGGGAGCTGGCATGCTCCAAGACGTTCGGCCTATGATCCGCCATGTCGTCTCGAAGGAACTTCAAGTATACTTCGACACAATTGCCGCGGCGATTTTCGGGTAGCCTTAAAGATTTTTTTTTTTGTTAATACAATGGATCGTCGTTTCGCCTGTAGCAGCGACGAACGAGCACGAGGGGCTGCTCTCGAAAACATATCCTCTGATCCTGGTTTGCAGCAACTTGTGCCTTACTTTTGCCAGTTTGCTGTTCAGCAGGTTTAGATTATTTTTTTCTTAAAATTTTATTAGCGTCAAGTTTTTGCAGATGCAGTGATTTTTTTACCTTATTACTTTTAGATTTCTAAAAATTCAAAGAATTTGTTCATTCTCACCTGCGTTGTGAAGCTTCTTCAAAGCCTGCTGGACAATTCACATCTATACCTTGAGCCCTACGTGCGTCTACACAACTTTCGCTATAGTTTTTTTTTTGTAATTCCCTTGCAGCTACACCAGATTTTATCGGCGCTCCTAACTTGTGTTCTTAAGAAATCTCTTTCGAAGAGTCTTTCGGAAGATCACTGGGTTTTTTCACTTACTTATAGGAAAAGATTAATTAACTACTGAAGTTTTTAACCTCAAGTCTCTTCGCGATCTCTCCGCTCATCTTGTGGCCGGCATCTGCCAAAAATTCGGAAGGTAATTACTATTACAGGCTTTACATGAGCCTTCACTCGTCTTCCGTCCGACCTCGCTTCCCGCCAGGTCCTATCCCACGCTGCAGACACGTGTAACGAGGACTTTGCTTCGCGGACTTCTTGAGCCCAAGAAACCGCTCGCTACTAATTACGGCGCTATTAGTTGCCTTGTATGCGGCCTTTTTTTTTCCCGGTGATCATCGCTAATAGACTTTTTTTTTGCTGCAGGCAGCTTTGGGCCAGAACGTCGTTCATCTTCTACTTCTTCCGCACGCCAGAGCACTCAGTGCACTCCTCGAACCGCGTTGGTTTTGTTTTGCCACGTGTCAATTCTAAATTAAGCTATTTTCTGGCGCTTCCTCTAAAAGATTTGTCGTTGGGTTATAAAAACAAGATTCGGTTGGAGGAGGCGATTCGTGTGAAGGATCTTTTATTAAAAACACTAGGTCAGTTTTTACGGTGGTACTCGCAGCAGCAGGAATTTACTACTCTGGGTGATGACAAGCCTGATTTACTAGTGAAAGCCTCCCTTAAAGTGCAGTGCATCTTCGTTCTTTAAGCTTAATAATTGCTTATTGCATTTTTTTAATCTTTTGTTCAAAAAGGAAACGTATGACGAAATGTTTGGCATCTTTGGAGAAGCGCTTTTGCCTTATATCGACTGTAAAAACGTAAAATTACTTGACCAGCTGGCCTGTATAAAGGCCTCTGGGCTCAACAGGCCCGCCGGTGAATCAACAACAATTCCGATTGATCAAAACTATAAGAGTGGTGTAGATAATGCCATCGTTGATCGCAAGCTCAGCAACGAGGAGGCTCCCGAACTTGAGCTAGAAAGCGAAGAGATTCCAGTGGCTTTGCCCTCGAAACGGAGGGTCCCCTTCGCAGACTCGCCAAAAACAAATGATCATACTTTTGTTTCCAGCGAAAAAAAATGTTTTGATGTTAACGATTTGTCCGATTCATCGAAATCGCCCATTGAAGAAAACGGAGAGAAGCTCGAGCTCCCATCTTAATTGATTTTAGAGGCCTGCACTACTTCGTTGGTTACTAATCGGAAAGTGGGATGGCCCGCCCGCCTTCGGATACATCTATCGGCTCTTGAAAAGCTTGAATATTAGAAAATTTTAAAAATGCGGTTCACTGCTAGCAGAATAGCCTTATTGTTATTTACTTAACTTTTTAGCGCCTACGAGCATCGATGAATTTAAATGTAAAATTTAATTTTTATTTATATATATAGCTACTTTAATTTAAGTAAAAATTCAAATGTTTCGAAGGTTAAGATCTTATCTTTGCTAAGGATAGTCTCGTTTATAATCTTTTTTCGTGAAATGCGAAAGCGCAGAGCTCTACTTATAGATCACTTTTTTACGATATAAACGATTCTTATAATAGTAAAGCTACACAAGTTTATAAAACATAGCAAAGTAATTCAGGTATTGGTCGTGGCTCAGCAGTCAGAAGCAGAGACTCGTAGATCCAAGGAACGCGGGTTCGACTCCTACCGACGCAAATACTCCGTTTTTGAGGGTTGCGTTAAAAAAAACTCGCATCCACAAACTCTGATACGTTTTATAGGCGCAAGCTCTGCTTTTTTTTAAAAGTAATCTAAGAACGGCTAAAGAAACAAAAACTTTAAAGGGAAACCATACTCTTTCTGAGAGCGCTTATAAAATAAAATGTTTAACCAAAAAATCCTACGCGACCCCAAAACCTGCCCTGACGGGGGTCGGACCCCGCGATCCAAGAACGGCGCGTCAGAGCTCTGACCTTTAAGCTACATCGAATTTTTAGGGCTAATTAAAATTACGTACATATCTCTTATAAACAACTTTCAAGTATTTTCCAGAAAAATGTATTTATTATATCCGCCTAATAAATTAATTTAATGTTTCACTAGTAGATGGTGTAAAAATAACAAAATAGAGAAACTCCCCACGCGACCGAAGAGCGCTACAGCACGCCCCATATATTTTCAAATGCGCAGCACACTTTTCCGCACACGACAGAAGCGGATAAAGGATAGTCCGAGATGTTTACGACATCATCTAAACCAGCTAAGTCGATTTGGCCGTGCGCTAATGCTCCAATATAGAAAACAACGGGCTTATCAACGGGTAACGTTGTTACATATTCGTAAATATTAACACACTTTTCAGCTTTGAACGTCGTGCCTAATTAGGAATTTAATATAAAAATAAAAGTAAAAAAAATTAATAATAACTGTATTCACCGATTTTGCGACAGTCTGGGGGAAGATGGTCAGTGACAGGGTTTCTTATGACTTTCAAAAGTTTTTCGGGAGTACCCGAGGCACGAACACTAAGCTTGTGTAGTAATTGAACTATTATAAGTAAGATCAAAATATTGTTTAAGTTTTATTAAAACAATTTATAAAAACCCATAAGCATGGAGAAACGCTTAAAGGTTCTCGGAATGCGGGTGTGAGGATTAATTTCAATCAAAACCCCTTTTTCAGTGTGAATATACACTTGTAATAAACCTAAAATCGTACTAAAATAAAACAACTCTCTAATAAAATTAAAAAAGTTACCAGCTTTATTCAAAGGACTATCAAGCAAAGTTAACAAACATTGATGGGTTATATCAGGTCGAGCGTCAGCTATATTTTTTCCATTTTTCCTTAATATATTTTGATGATCATCACAATTTAATAAATGAAATTCCTTCCCAACCTTTAAAACAGAATAAATAACAAATTAATTATATATAAACTAAATAAAACTAAATAAAAACGGTTTAATACAAATCCTCACTTTCCCAGTTTCTAGACAGGCACGTTCTAGTACCACTATTAAACGCTTTTGATTATCTCTTTCTCTTTGATTCTTAGGAAGCTTAGGGGTCTGCGGTTGAAACTCCATTTACAATAAGAAGAGCAACCGAAAGAAGATAAAATAGGCATAAACCTTTTCTAACTGTCACTTAGTATATTGGTTAGCCACGTGCTTCCATTTACTAACATGCGCCATGGATATAAATAGAGATAGCACGCCCCCGTAGGAGGGGTTTTATTTTTTTCTCTATCCCGCATGGAACGTGTTGTGGTGCGAGGGGACAACCTAATTACCGTGTTATATATAGTTGGTCTAATGAATGTATTTAACATTTAATACTAGCTAATAATACTTTTTGATATCGTCACGATCCGAATGGCTCATGAGCCGCTCGAATGCAACAGTACCATTATCCACACATTCTATAGGACATACGAATAGCCAGAGAGGCAAAGTACTAATAGAACACCACTCATTTCATAGTTTTTGCTCCATAGACTTTTGTCTTTGCTACTAACCTTCAAAGTAATAGTGTATTATGAAACTTAGCTGTTTTCATCAACTTTTAATAGTGTCATAGTTGAATCCAACAGATCTTCCAAGCATATTACGTTTAAAATTGCTTCGGAAGGCGATGCTAGTACTCAGCGCGAAGTTTCGGAGCGTAAGTTAATTAGCTTAAATACTTCCAATACACCCCCAAAGACACTGGGCGCATTCCTACCTTGGCATAAATATATATCTACGCTTTTATAGCCACTATCGCGATAGTGCCATTCTTCCAAAACTACACGTGACATGCACGTGACAATAAAACGGTTATAGCGAACGAAGCGGGCCATTTTCTAGAAATCCAATTGTCATGGTGAAAGTGCCTTGTCCTCTTACAAATTAACTGGGCGGAGATTTTTTGTTATCATATTTTTACAACAATTTTTTGGTTTTTTAACTTTTTTTTAGTTTTATATACTATATATGAAATCAGGCGATCTTATAGGATAATTAGGGTTGGAGAACTGTTATTTGAAATTTTGGTCAAGCACTTTTTGAAACTGTTAATATTTGTTTGTAGTGCATTAATTTTGCCTACCTAATATAGTCGTTTAGTGTCACAGGATTTAACATTTTTTATTTGCATTATGAAGTTGTTTTCACTTAATATTTATACCAATAAAATTTTAAAAGATTACAAGAATTTGGTAGCGTCCGCTGCATACTTTTTAAGTATTATTAGAACTTACAAGAATATATTATTTTATTACAAAAGAATTTTATTTGCTATATTTGTAACAAAATATTGCAATTTTACTAACGCAACATTTGGTCGCCCTTTATGTTAACTTTTTTGGCCTTTTTGGTTAGTTATAGGAAAAGGAAAAGAATATTGCCTTTTTTATCTCAAGTGTTGCGCTTTCACCCATTATTACACGTTAATTGTTATATATATTGTTAATAATATTCGCCAAGTGCTGCAGGTCGGTTAAGTAACCAGGGCAGTCTATTAAAAACAGTCTAATAGGATATTGTTGCCCTTAAAAACATAACTTCTCCCTTATAAAACTCTTTACTATTTAACCTCTTGCATTTCGGCTTTCTTAGATATATAGTGCAGGGAGTGTAACAAGGTCTAACATCTATAGTTATCTAGTAAATTGGTCTCATCTCTGAAGCCTCGTACGTTTTTTAGTTTCTTTTTGTTTTAGGTTAATAAACCAACAAAGAACTGAGTAAAAAGTTGTTTTGAGAAACGATTTATTTAAGCCAACATTTGTTGGAATGATTCCTTAAACCATCTCAGTTTCTCCAACGCTCTTTAAAAGTCATTAACTTTTTTAAATTTTTCTTTTTAAGTGTTTTTACTCGTACTGCCAACCCGCCTCTATGTCTAGAAATTACTTACAATCTAAAAGTAATTTAGTTCATTGCACATTGTAATTAGGATTATGTCTTTTGATCCCTTGAAACTTACTACTATAACCGAGTTTTTAGTGTATTTGGCAGAATCGAAAGTATTAAAAATGCAAAGCTTTCCAAGGAAAAAAAAGAACTTAAGACCATCTTAAGCAAAAGTTAACTTTTACAAAACGAAATTACCTGACTAGAATTCAATTTATATGGTGACTCTGACGCGTAATATAATAAAAGGGTCTTTGATACTAAGCGTTCCAGCGACCAAAACCAAAGAAAATAAATACAACACCAAAAAAAAAAAATCTAGGACTCTTATTATATATCTCTTCCCTAGCAAGAAACAATATTTTACGACAAAAAGGAAATAACCATTTTTATTCTGCCTTCATTAACGCTCAGCATCATCCTCGATTTTGGGGGCTAAATAGTATTTAATGTGGCCACAATCTTCCAAAGCATACTCTACCACCAACGGCATATCGTGGTGAAGATGGAGAACAACGCTGGTAGAAAGTGGTGTGGCTTTCGTAAATGTTGTAAGAAAACTTAACGCAAGATTAAGTTCAACAGTCTTCTTCGAATCAATGACGACCGACGCCTCGCTTTTATCTACACAAGAGGATTGGCCGAGTACAATATTGCAAGTACCGTTATCACCCGCAGCAGAAAATTTAATCCCATCTTTAGAGCCTGAGAAAAATAAAATAAAATAAAAATAAAAAACCGTGTAAAAAACGCTTGAAAAGACTACATTTTACTGAGACAGTATCGCTGAATTTACTTAAGTCGCGGCAAATTCTTTGAAATTCAATAGACGGGATAGTAACTTTACAGTCGTACTCTTTATCGGGAATGCCTAAACGCTCTTCATCAATCTCAAGTAAGTTCATCGCAAACTCGGAAACCTTGTCTGCCACTAGCAAAAAGTCAGCAATATATGAGCTCTCCTATTATAAAAAAATATATTATTTTACCTTTACTCTCAAGAAGACAGCTAACAGTGGCGTCATCTATTTGATGCTTGAGAGTGAACTCATCATCATTTGCGGCACATTTTAAGATCTTTAGAAAAAATAAAATTTCCGTTTGCGCTGAAAAAAAGTTCAACATCGTAGCACACAGGCTAACTGAGAAATAAGTACCCTTGCCAAGGATCCAAAATTAATACCCATCTGCCGAGCTCGGTCGCAACGATAGAAAGAAAAGCCTTTCTTGCTTATAGACAAGAAAACTAAAGAGACATGAGAACTATCCATAGCTTGCATTGATAATCCGGTGTCTCCGCATTCTACATTGGCCACTTCAATTAAATCTTTAACAGCGTCAACAATTTTTTTAAAAAAAGAGGCCTTTTCAACTTTTGCTTCAAACATGTTTTTGAAACTCTACTAACACCTACAGTTAAAATATATAATTTAATATAACTTTAATAATTTATTAATCCTTAAAATATATTCTAAACTTTTTAATAAAAAATTCAAACAACCTGAAGGTAAAAGTTAAATGAAAAGTTAAAATTACAAAGCTGAAACAAGCAAACAGGGATGAACAGAGTAAACGTGTTCCTAAAAACCAGAAAAGGGTGAAAGGGCAACAAAAAAAAAATTAAAGAGAGCATGTGGGGCTATCAATAAAGTTGGATAAGCCAAATCCCGACCTTTGAATTTGGTTCGAGTATTTTAGGTTGTCCATTTGAGCTACTGGTTTTTTTTTAAACTGTTTCTGTTTTTCTCTTTATAAGCAAACTTCATCCGCTGGCATATAAATAAAAAAAAAGTTTTATTTTTATTTTCATTAATCTTTTTCCTGTGCTTTATTGATTTTTTTTACACCTTCTCTTTTTCTTCCTTTCAAAACTAACGGTGGTAAACAATAATTTGGCTGGTTGTAGTTGTTTATATTTTTTGTTTATTGTTTAGTTTTTTTCTGTAATTACAAGAAATTAACCGGAGCATATTTAAAACAAACTATAAATTTTGATAATAGAATTGATAACTCTAAGTAGCGGTATGAAATATGAGCATACGGGATAGTAGATTAACTATAAAAACTTTCAAGTATAAACGCTGCTGTTGTGTGATATGAGTCGTGTTAAAAAAACGTTTGACCTAAAGCGAGAGAACTCGCGTCGATGAACTATAATATAACAAGGGAAACTAGGAATGATGTACCATAGTTTTGAAGAAAGCAGAATCTTACAGTCTTTAGTATTTTGGTCTACTACCGCGGACGTCTTTAGAAAAAACGGTTTTTTGTTTATAAGGAACTTAATTCGAGTTTATATATGATAAAACATATCGATTGAGTCTTGTTTTATATATTTTGCAGCTTCTGTTCATTAAGGCCTTTTTATTGTGAATGGATTCCAGCACGCCTGAACTTCTTACTTAGTATTTGAGATAAATATTTAACTTATTTACATAGCGCTTTATTAAAAATATACTTATATGTTTTAAAAAACATTTAGCTACCCAAATTTGTAACTACTGACTCTATATCATTGCTTTACATATATTTTATATATTTAATTTTTCCTTTTTTCTTTGTAAAAATATAATCATCTTTTATTAATTACGAGTCCCCCTCAGAAGGAAGGACTTTAAGCATTCATTACTAACTTATCAGCTATAAATAAAGAATTTAAAACAGACTGAGATTCTTCAGTGTTTATAGTGTGAGGGTAGTGTTCAAGGGAGTGCACATGCGATTATATAAGTTTAGCTCGCGCACCCTGCGTGGTCTTTTTTCTTTTTCTTTGTTTATCGTGTGGTTGGGAATCTATAATAATCAGATAAACTTATATTGTTTTCTGGTACTTCGACTTTCTTGTACTATATTACTTTATTGTTTATAATAAACTTTATATCTACATTATATTACTTTACTGTCTATAAAATACAAGTTCTCGAAGATTTACAGTCTCTGAAATCAATAAAAGGCAAAACTTCTTGAAATTACCAAAATCACTTAGGATAAATATACGTCTCATAGGCGAAAGGAACCTTTTGATAGGATAACTGATAATAATGTGTTCTCGGCCGTACAACTTCTAGATCAACCAAATGCTTCGATAACTGAAAGATAGCGAGACTTTAAAGGTTACAAAAGACGAGTTTATTCACGGCGAATAGCTAATATTAATGATAATAGTAGTAGTAGCATTAATCTTACGGCTAGTAGTTTCCATAATAACGTTAATTATAATATAACTGTTGGCAGCAACAGCAGTAGTAAATTTAATGTGTACGGCAATAAAAATAAAAACTTTAGGAGTACTAATAATAGTGATTAATATAACCACTTTAATAAAAAATAACACTAGCTCCAATAAGGGTAACGACAACTTGAAAGTTAAGCCTTCAAGAGCTTCGCACGACACCTTTGACACTAAGATGGCAGCGCTTTTGACACTGTCCCAATTATTAAAGAATGGCCATCTACTGCGCCAATTCCCCTGCAAACTTGTAAAGAGGAAATTCCACCCATCACCCCTTTTAAAAAACAGCGACCCTTATTATATAAGTTTTGCAATCCAACGGAGCAACGATTTAAGAGATATGTTCTTAGAATTAAAATATATCCCACATGGGCTGATAATAACCGCTAGAACAGCGATATTTCCCAATTAAGAAATACAACATTTAACCTATTAATTACCTGAAAACAAGCCATTTGAATCTGTTATTTGGAGATTTTTCGTAACACTCGGCGTTTCCCCCGTCGAGGCCCCTCCGAGTAGCGCATGGAAGACACTGTTAAAGATGAACGGAAGAAGCATCTTTCACCATTAGCGTTAGTGTATACATCCTGAACCGAACAACATAGACTGAAGACTACTTTCCATCTTTAAATTAAAGTAGAAGAACTTTAAAAAACCAATTAAGTTGGCCCGTGACGCCGCTGACAGATTTTTGACTATGCTGCGAGCTATTGCGCTACGGCACCTGGATGCGTCAAACACGGTAAGGGTCAATTGAACCCAGCGTGTACGCAAACACGAGACTCGCCTACTAGAAGTGTGAATTGAGGCGAGGCTCATATTGCCAACTACCGGGGCTGCAAATGTTATTCGCGTAGGTCTTTGACAGACGACCAATTTACGCCACCATGACATTTGATTCCCACTCCTATATTGCCAGAACTATATCTTATGCTCCCACCGCCCAAGAGCGAGCTCGCACCAAGCGGCCCCTGCAAATAATCTTACTCACATTGATAATGCAGAGTCATTTAATCAACAATAAGAACAGCGACCGCAACCGACTTAACAACTACTTTTAGCTATTTTGACGAGGAGTCTCTAGACTATGTTAGAGATCGTGAATGGCTTCAAACTGGTTTGTAAAGACAGAAATTTAAACGCTTAATGAAATCTAATACTGTTTTGGGATGCGGAGGGCGTCCAGAAGAAAAAACACGAGTTATAGGAGTTAAAGCAACGCGAAAGAATAGATACCTGTGTCGTCATCGAAGTACACCTTTTCCTCAATGTACCATTAACATCTGCAACTTTGCATTGTATCTCGCCAGGATCGGTTATGCACCAGTGGTGGAGGAGTAACTGTACTGATCAAACAAAGCATCCAATACAATTTAATAGCATTACCAACTCTGCAAGGAATTGAGGAAGTTAATAATACCCTTTACCAGGCTAGACAGGGGCCCGTAACTGTGATTTAGATTCTATAAACCTCCCTGCTAACAGCACCCTGCTAACCACTCATGTTGTCCGATCTTGACGCTCTTTAAATGCATGACTTTCCTGCCTATCGATAGGGAAATTTAACTTTTAACATCTTACGTGTACCAGCCGGGTTGCGAACCGGAACGGCTACATTCTTGAGGTTCACATTGAGGCGCCCGGGGGAAGAGCCCTATGATCACAGTTGCCCAACACATATGGTGAGGAAGACGGGCACAGTGGACGTGCTTGCTTCGAACGGCCACTAAGGTGCTAAATGAATTGTCGTCCGCACATTTGCATGTTCCTGCTCGAATTGGGCGACGAAAAGAAGCAATATAGATGTTTCCACCATCTTACATGGATTGGAACATATTCACCGAACTGCTCGAGGAGACGCTCCCTCCTTTTAGGATACCACTTAAAATCCCTAAACTAAATAGTGCTGTTGTCAAATTTGAGTGCGCGGGACAGAAGCTCACCGCAAAGCAACGACAACACGTGTAGTTGGTACCGCTCTAAAAGGTCTTTATGAGGAATTAAAGGCATTAATATGCGAGCCGCGACGGCTCATAAAAGTTGCCATGGCCTTCTACGCGTAGTCGACAAATAGTGTAAAACGCTTCTAAGAGCACGTCAGGAAAAAGCTGAAGGCGCATATAAACCGTCAATGGTATAGCAATTAAAATTGTTTGTAGCAGGTGACATGGGCTGCGCTTCATTTTAAAAATTAGTCATGCGAGTTAGGCGTCGCGGTCATTCGATTCGGCCATCACTTCGTAACTGCGACACCGTAGCCGAAAGCGATGAAGATAAAATGAAACTTTTTTCTGATCATCTAGCTGCCAAGTGATCACTGTCTACTCATGAATCCGTGGATAACGCTCCCATGTGCCTAATCTTTTCTCGATTGATACAACTAGTTTTCTAAAGCTATCTACCACAGCTGAGATAAGGTTACTTGTCAAATTACTAACGAACCGAAAGGCACCGGTCCTGTCGGAATTATTAACCTGAGGTTACAACAAATGTCAGAGGCCGCTATGAACCGTCTGTGCTTCTTATTTAACTCAGTGTTGGTCTTTGTCTTTTCACTGGCGATGGAAAATGGCGGTAATGTTGATGTTTCCAAAGACATCGCAGTTGCCATCAGAGCCTTGCAACTATTAACTTATCAGCCTTGGCTAGCAGATGATAAGGTAGTTGCAACAGTGATATTTCACCAGAGTCTCAGAGTTTCACCGTGGTATTCTTAAGGGACAGTCGACGACCCAATAAATTTGTCGTCTAACCGAGAAAACGATCAGAGCCTTAAATTTTAAAAAAGTCACTGGCGCTCTGTCTTTCTCGAAGTTGAGAAGGCTTCTGACCTAATATGGCATAACACCCAGTTAAGTAAGCTACATGCTCTGGTGAACCTGCGCGCCTTCGAGAAGTTTTTAAGTGGTACCTAAACGCTGGTGCTTCAACGTGCGAGTAGGCGCTGCACTGTCGTCACCTCGCTATTACACAATCCCGCAGGGCTCCCTTTTATCTAATAAGAAAATAACTACAAAATTAAATTGAAAACTAATTCAGTTAACAAAAAAAAATTTTTCATTGGTCGTGATACCGATATTGGTTTGTTCTTCGAATCTATTCTTTAGAACAAAGACCACAAGTCTTTTACAATAAAAGAAGCTGATTTACCGGACAATTACCCTTTTTGAATAGAGGAAAAGCTATATATAACAACATATTTAAACACAACTTATTATCGGTAGGTATTTTAGATGAAAAAGGATAACAACTATATCTGAAAATAACTAAGTACAAATAAAAAAAGATGGCAAAATTTTACTTAATGATAAAAAGTAGGATAAATATTG